GGGCCCTCTCCCCAGAGGGGAGCACGGGGAGCCAACAAGCCTGCCTTCCTTTCTAGAACTTTGTTTATATATATATACACACACACATACATATACACACTCATATATGTACACATATAGAGTCATCAGAAAGGTCATGGTGCATTTAAATACACCATGACTTTCCTGACAACCTAATATATGTGTGTATACACACACACATATGCACATACACACATATGTATTTGAACTTTAAAAAATAGAACCAAGTGCAATGATTGTGAATCCTCTAAACATTTGATTGGAAGACATAGTACAATTTTAGAGATTACTTAAAGACTTGGCTCTGTCATTGATTTTAAAAATAAACTCGGGACCAGTAGTTGGCCTAATGGCTATGTCACTGGACTTCCATGTAGTCAAGGTTCGTGTCCCGGACCCGGTGGCTTAAAACTCACGCCGGGCGTGTGTGCGTGCGTGCCCAAGATCCCGAGAGGAGAATGGAGGAGAGTGGATTGCGGCATGACCATCGCCCCTGGTGGGTGATTTCTCGCTTTCTGTCTCTATGTCTCTCTCTGTCTGGCGAGCGCACGCGTCCTACAGTGAAAATCTCTCAAAAAAAAAAAAAATAAATAAATAAATAAACTCAAAGTTCTAATTTTTATGGATGTGCTTTTTTTTTTTTTTTTTTTGAGAGATTTTCACTGTAGGACGCGTGCGCTCGCCAGACAGAGAGAGACATAGAGACAGAAAGCGAGAAGGCACTCCCCAGGGGGGAAGACCATGCCACAAACCTTTCTCCTCCATTCTCCTCTAGCGATCTTGGGCATGCACGCATACTCGTCTGGCGTGAGTTTAGGCTGCCGGGTCCGGGACTTGAACTGCGCTCTACTACATGGAAGTCCAGCGACATAGCCATTACACTAACTGCTGGTCCCATGGATGTGTTAAATATATTTATAGGTTAAATGAAATTTTGAGATTAGCAAATAATGTTTATATCAAGGATGGTACTTTTAAACTAATTAGGTAAAAATTAGGCCAATGTTTTCACAATAATATACTTTTATAAATGAGTCTTACCTTAGATTTCTGTGTTAAAAATTGAAAAAAAAGCAACTTAGATTACTTCTGAAATCATTTTATAAATTTCAGTTAGTTTTTATGTTAATATTGATGTTTGTTAATTTATCCAAAACCAAAGAAGGAATGAAGGAATTTAAAAATAATCTGAGTAAATGTAAAATATCATAGAAAACTTCTGTATTTTATAAATTTAATATAAAAATAAATATTCTTATGGATGTTATTCTGAATTAGAATGGAATTTCTATACCAATTGAAAGGTACATTTTTATAATGTCACAAATCATTTGGTTATTTATATGTTTTATTGTGATTGTTTTCTTAAAACTATAAATAATTGTTCAGGATTTTTAATTCTTTAGTTTTTAATAAAATATAAAAGTATTTAAAATCACTACATCTTTTGTAAAAGCATCTTTAGATCTCCTATTTTCATTTAACTTGTGAAAATATCTCTATACTTTCTCTATTTAGTTCTAACTGTAAAACAAACTTTTCCCAGTGAATTCAAAATTTATGTCCTTAGATATTTGTGAAGGATTTATTTCATATATGAATATTCCAAAGAAATGTTTATTTCAGAAAATGACACTGCTCCATGGTAATAATCATGAACTTCTTTTTTTGTTTGTTTTTTGAGAGGTTTTTGCTATAGGGCGCGTGCGCTTGCCAGACAGACAGAGACAGAGAGACAGAAAGCGAGAAATCACCCACCAGGGGGGATGGCCACGGCGCCATCCCTTCTCCTCCATTCTCCTCTTGGGATCTTGGGCACGCATGCACATACGCCCAGCATGAGTTTTAAGCCACCGGGTCCGTGACTCGAATCGCGGTCGACTACATGGGAGTCCTGCGACATAGCCATTATGCTAACTCCTTGTCCCGCTCTGTCTTTCTGGTGAGCGCACATGCCCTAAAGCAAAATTCTCTCCAAAAAAAGAAAAATAAATAAAAGGCTAATTGACACGTAAAGATGTGCCAATGCTAGCCTCAATGGCACAAATGGTAGCAAACTGAACTGCAGTGCTGGAAGCTGCACGGTCATCTGTGAGTTCAGATCCCTGAGCCGGCCTGAAAAGACTCCAGTGTGTACATATGCCCTAGAGCTTCACAAGCTGGAGGTCTAGGAAAAGACGGGCGTGTGTGTATGTGTGCATGCCCAAGATCCTGAGAGGAAAATGGAGGAGAAGGGATTGTGGTGTGACCATCCCCCCTGGGGGAGTGATTTCTCGCTTTCTATCTCTCTGTCTCTCTCTGTCTGTCTGGCGAGCACACGTGCTCTATAGCGAAAACCTCTCCAAAAAAAAAAAAAAACAAGTCTCAGCACATTTCAAAGGGTTGACATTACTCAATGTAGTCTCTAGTTAGGTAAGGTTAAAGTAGAAATAAGTATCAGAAATAGAAAACCCACAAGCATGTGAAAACGAAGCAATACAATTCTAAAAAATGTATGAGCTATAAAGAAATTGCAAGAGAAATGATAAGATATT